ACATAAATGAAGCATTGAAGGGCCATAGGCTGGCCATCGAGGGAAACAAGTTCTCCTCCCCTCCCCTCCGTTTCTCCTCTCCTCTCCTTTCTCTCCTCTCCTCTCCGCTCCTCTCTCCTTTCTCCTCTCCTTTCTTCTCTCCTCTCCTTTCTCCTTTTTCTCCTTTCCTTTCTCCTCTCCTTTCTCTTCTCCCCTCCTCTCCTCTCCCCTCCCCTCCGCTCCTCTCCTTTACCTTCCTTTCCTTTTTGTAAAGACAACAAAATGTTGTAGATGCACAAAAAATGTTGCGTAGGCTGGTCTCAAACTCCGGGCCCCAAGTGATCCTCAGCCCCAGCCTCCCAAAGTACCAGAATTGCAGGCATGAGCCACTGCATCTGGCCAGAGGGAATACGTTTCCTGTTCCCACTTAGCTGTTGCACTTGGAATAAGACCCTTAACATCTCCTTGCAGGCTTCTGAAAAGCTTCCAAGAGATGATGCATGCAAAAGAGCTCTGTGTGCAGATCACCAAGCATGAGGCATTATTAAGGGCAAACCAACCAAGTTCTATTTACAATCGCCAAGTGTCTTCTAAGAAGGGCAGCTACCTGACAAGGAGAATTCCCTATTCTCCCTGCAGAGGATTTCCAGGTCTGCAAAGCTGGCAGGGCTAGGAATGAAGTTTGCTGGTAGGAAGTGGGGAATGTTAAATTCCTCTGGGTTATAGAGGGGGAGAATTTGGAGTTCTGGGAGGGAAGGTGATGAGAAGAAGGGATGGAAGGGTGAGAAGAAGGGGAGCCAGCAGGATGGTACAAAGGTGGGGGTGAACCCAGGCTAGATTAGGCCTGCGGAACTTAACCTACTTTACTTGATTTTAGTCACTTGCTTCTAGTTGATCTTAAAACCTATATAGCTGCTGGGATCAGTGGCTCACACCTGTAATCCCAGCCCTTTGGGAGGCCGAGGCTGGAGGATCACTTGAGCCCAGGAGTTCAAGACCAGCCTAGGCAACATGGCAAGACCTTGTCTCTACTAAAAACAAACAAACAAAAAACCAGATGTGGCGGCATGTGCCTGTAGTCCCAGATACTCAGGAGGCTGAGGTGGGAGGATGGCTTGACTCTAGGAGGTTGAGGCTGCAGTGAGCTGTGATCACCATCAGTGTACTCTAGCCTGGGTTATAGAGTGAGACCCTGTCTTTAAAAACAAACAAACAAACAAAATCTATATAGCTAAAAGTCATGTAGCTAAGCAATATTTAACTGGAATTCCACCAGCTTCCTGCTGGATAACATCTCTGATGTATAGGTCATCATAGTAATGGTTGTTTAAGTTGTTTTCCAGGGGCTGGACGCGGTGGCCCATGCCTGTAATCCCAGCACTTTGGGAGGCCAAGGTGGGCTGATCACCTGAGGTCAGGAGTTCAAGACCAGCCTGGCCAACATGGTGAAACCCCGTCTCTACTAAAAATACAAAACTTAGCCAGGCATGGTGGTGGGCGCCTATAATCCCAGCCACTCGGAAGGCTGAGGGAGGAGAATCATTTGAACCCAGGAGGTGGAGGTTGCAGTGAGCCTCCAAGATCGCTCCATTGCACTCCAGCCTGAGTGACGAGAGTGAAACTCCGTCCCAAAAAAAAAAAAAAAAAAAAGTAAAAACAAAAAATAAAAAAAAAAAAAAAAAAAGTTGTTTTTCAGGAACGTGTGGTCAGCTCTTATCCAGTTCAAGCCACTTATGACCATCAGTCCTTCAACTTGGTCTGTGAGAGTGTCCAGTAGGTGACGTTTGATGTCAGAGCACCAAAAACTCCATCCTTAGTCATGCTAATGCCACCATTTTGTGAACCTGCATCCTATGAAGAACCACGAAGCTTGACTAGGCTTGCACAGATCGCTGATGCCCTACTTTTCCTTGCCTCCAATCACCTTCCCTACACCTTAGGCCACCTGCTTCTTTGTCCCATCAACGTCTCTATACCCCATCTTTGAGGAAGTCAGTTTGAGACCTATTTTCCCATCTCCTCACTTGGCTGCCTCATGAATAAACACATTCTCTGCTGCAAAACTGGTCATCTCGGCACGGTGGCTCCTACCTGTAATCCCAGCACTTTGGGAGGCTGAGTCAGCCAGATCACCAGGTCAAGAGATCGAGACCATCCTGGCTAACACGGTGAAACCCCGTCTCTACTAAAAAATACAAAAAATCAGCCGGGCGAGGGGGCGGGCGCCTGTAGTCCCAGCTACCTGGGAGGCTGAGGCAGGAGAATGGCGTGAACCCGGGAGGCGGAGGTTGCCGTGAGCCAAGATCGCACGACTGCACTCCAGCCTGGGCGACAGAGTAAGACTCCGTCTCAAAAAAAAAAAAAAACCAAAAAAAAAACTGGTCACCTCAGTGATTGGCTTACTGTGCGATGAGCAGAATGGGCCTCATTTGGTAACAAGAGAAGAAACTGATAGAAAGTCCTCAGGGATGGGGTGGCAAAGACATTTTCAGAACAGGGCCCTGTTATGTTCCGTGCGTAGTTGTTTGCACTGGTGCATTACAAGCCCCTCTGGTGGCCCCCCGCTTAGTCTTTGGTAAAGTCTGCTGCATCTGCCAGTGGTTTTGTGAGCAGATTTGTTCTGGGGGTGTGGGGAACTAAGAAAGGGGTGGAATAGAAACAGTGCAACATAAACAGTTAAACCCACAGAGGCTGCAGGCCCATTGCTGACCATGGAAAAAGAGGTGGACTCCTCGGGAGTCCACAGAAGTCTTGGGGAGGGCTTTGGACTTCCACAGGCCTAGAATAAGGGTTCGAACTAATCTCAGCCTAGATCTCAAGGGTCTGAGAGGCTGTAGAGAACATTTAGGCTGGTTGGCCTGAGCAGCTCTTGCCCCAGTTCACCTCTAATTCCCAGACTGTTGCTGTTCATGCTCAGTGAGGCCTTGTTCTCACTCGTCCTTCTCTCTTTTTTTTTTTTTGAGATGGAGTCTTGCTCTGTCACCCAGGCTAGACTCCATTGGTGCAATCTCGGCTCACTGCAACCCCTACTTCCCGGTTAAAGCCATTCTCCTGCCTTAGCCTCCTGAGTAGCTGGGATTACAGACACACATGCACCACCATATCTGGCTCATTTTTGTGTATTTTTAGTAGAGATGGGGTTTTGCCATGTTGGCCAGGCTGGTCTCAAACTCCTGACCTCAAGTGATCCACCTGCCTCGGCCTCCCAAAGTGCTGGGATTACAGGCATGAGCCACTGAGTCTGGCTCCAGTTGTCCTTCTCACTGATGTCAGCACCAGAAATGGTCATGTGGATAGTCACTGGCAACTTAAAACCCAAGTGTGCATGGGGAAGTGCAGGGCAGGGTCATTAAACGGAGTCCAGCCTCTCTTCTCCCTTTCTCTATCCTTTCACTTCTGGGAAAGACCGGAAACCTCACCTCATTCCTCTTTCTCCCATGGCCCCATCCCCACCCCACTTCAGCCCGTCAGCCTCCAAATGTAGTCCAAGTCCTCATCTCTGTACCTGGACCATTCCATTTTCGCTGGTCCCTAGTCCCCATCTGGCTCCCCACTGGCTGCCAAATACCAGTGTGACCCTGTCCTTTCCTTGCTTTAAGCCTCTCAGTGGTTTTTTTGTTTGTTTGGTTGATTTTGTTTTGTTTTGTTTTTTTTTTGAAATGGAGTCTTGCTTGCTCTGTCACCAGGCTGGAGTGCAGTGGCATAATCTTGGCTCACTGCAACTTCCACCTCCCAGGCTCAAATGATTCTCCTGCCTCAGCCTCCTGAGTAGCTGCAACTATAGGCACCCGCCACCACGTCCAGCTAATTTTTGTATTTTTAGTAGAGACGGGATTTCACCATGTTGGCCGGGCTGGTCTTGATCTCTTGACCTTGTGATCTGCCCACCTTGGCCTCCCAAAGTGCTAGGATTACAGGAGTGAGCCACCGCACCCCACCTGCCTCTCAGTTGTTATTTACCACTGAAGCAGAGTGAAGCTTGTGCTCTGCATTGCTTCACGGCCAAGACCTCGGGGACAAGTGGATACACAGGGCAGTGGGAGTGGATATGGCGAAGCCGAACCCTGGTCTCTTCTCGAAATAATTTTCTAGAGGGCAAAAGCAGATGGCTCCACCGAGAACTCACACCAGCCCAACACACTTTGATCTCGAGGCCTCTGGAAGGGAAGGTGCCTAATGAGCTACTTAAAGCCAGAGATGCAATGACAGCGGTACCAAGACTGGAGGTGTTCCAGGTCTTTCATCCAAGAGCCCCAAGACATAGCCTAAATTCGCACCACTGTAATCTCAGCACTTTGGGAGCCTGAAGCAGGCGGATCACCCGAGGTCAGGAGTTCAAGAGCAGCCTGGCCAACACAGTGAAACCCCATCTCTACTAAAAATACAGAAATTAACCAGGTGTGGTGGCGCGTGCCTGTAATCCCAGCTATTCGGGAGGCTGAGGCAGGAGAATCGCTTGAACCCGGGAGGTGGTGGTTGCAGTGAGCTGAGATCGCGTCACTGCCCTCCAGCCTGGGCAACAAGAGCAAAACTCCGTCTCAAAAATAGATAAATAAATAAAATAAAATAAAAATAAATAAATGGACACAGTCAGTGCCTTGCTCCCACCCCTACCTCCAGCACAGCACCATGACAGTCTTCTCACATATCAGTCCCAAAACACACTATCGGCATCCAGAGAGTGGGAATAACTCGTTACAGTTCACACCTCTCATTCCCAGTCATTATCTCATTTCAACCCGGGAGGTAGACTTCTTCATCGCCGCGACATACACACAAGGAAAAGGCCCAGAGAGGTGAAGCAATGCCTCAGGTCACTCAGCCAGTTACCGGCAGAGCAGATTCTTCAATGCAAGTTTTTCTCCAACCCTACCCAGCAGTCGTACCGGGGCCCCAGGCTGCAATCCCCTGGCCCGGTGCCCATCGGTGGCTCCCAGGGACACATGCCCTGATGCCGGCGCTGACAGATGTCTACTGGGAAGAGAGCAGGAAACTGTCCCTTGGAAAGCCGAGATGCTTACCTGAACTGTGAAGGTATCCGAGCGGCTAAGGAGACAGCAGTGGCCGGAGTGCTGCGGTTCAGGCACAGCTGGCGAGAGGCATTCCTCACTCTCAGGCCCTCACCCACCGCTCGAGACAGTGAGCCTCATCCTGACCACTTCCCCTTTCTAGTCTGCCCACGGGGGAGAGACCCAGGCGTCATCTCTAGGCAAGCATCCCTTTTCCAGGGAAGCTGACGACCCTCGGCTGTCCGGAAGCCAGAATCTTCTCACTGCCCTGTGTGGCTCCTGCAAGACCCACCAGAGGACCCTCATGGTGCGGGAGGGGGTCCTGGTGGGGGCCAGGGGCCAGGGTGGAGACTTGGCAGTGTGGGTGGGTGAGGTGCCCCTACAGACGAGTTTGCCCTGAGCATTCCTGGAAGTGGTAGGCTTAGTCTCAAGAAGAGCGACGGGACGCCGACTCCCACGCAGAGACAGATCCAGGTAAGAAACCAGCTCATGTGTGACAAACTCACCAGCTCACAATGAGGGTGACTCTTGAAAGCTCCTGTGCACCCTGGAACTGCTGAGACATCTTCTGCTTGGAGGAGGCAAGGGACAGGCTTCCTGTTTCTGAGGGCGTGTGAGTGGCGACATTGAGAAATGTGGCCAGTGGAGCATTTTGACGGAGTTGGGTTCCCTCATTTAACACTGTGAGACAGAAACTCCCAGCGAGGCCCACGGCCCCTGAACATGGGGGATGGGGTGGGGAAACCAATTAACCATTTTGTTGAATTGGCTGCTTCTGACTCAAATGAGCAGTCACATTAGTAAAAATAGGCAAACGGATGTGCGTTGTGTCTGCCCAGAGCGAATGAGTTGTTGTCGATTTCAGTAATAATGATGATAACCTGATAGGTCTGATCAATGTTTAACAAACACCTGGCTCTGGCCGGGCACAGTGGCTCACGCCAGCACTTTGGGAGGCCGAGGAGGGCGGATCACCTGAAGTCAGTAGTTCGAGACCAGCCTAGCCAACATGGTGAAACCCCATCTCTACTAAAAATACAAAAATTAGCCAGGCGTTTTGGCGTGCGCCTGTAGTCCCAGCTACTCAGGAGGCTGAGGCAGGAGAATTACTTGGACCCATGAGGCGGAGGTTGCAATGAGCTGAGATCACGCCACTGCACTCCAGCCTGGACGACAGGGCAAGACTCCATCTCAAACAAAACAAAAACAAAACATCTGGCTCAGAAGATTCCTGATTTGCAG